TGTGTGTGTGTGTGTGTGTGTGTGTGTGTGTGTGTGTGTGTGTTTGAGTGTGTGTGTGTGTGTGCCATGGTGATTTGGTGGTGGTAACTGGGGCAAATGGAAAGCATTAATCAGTTGTGAGGAAAAAGGCAAAGGAGAGCGTCTTTAGAGGCTGAGGTGAAGAGGCAGAAAATGATTAATATGTAATGAATAGTCACTCATGGGACCTGGAAGACATAACTGCACTCCACCTTGCAACAGGATTCACAGGTACACTTACGGTTACACACACGGACACACAACTGCATGGCTTCACTAAATGACAAAGCTGATTGGACTTATTGTTACGCCTGAATTTAATGTCTTTCTCACCACAAACATGAACACAATCTGACAGTAACAAACAATTTTCATAATTTCTAATACAAAATGAATTTTTGATTCATGAAGGTAAAGTTTATATTGATAAATGAAGGGTTCACAATAGCTCTTTAAAAATGTAGTGCCAAAAAAGAAGGGATGAAAATTGATGATCAAGCTCAGCAACCAAATGTATATGTATATGAATATTTGCTGAGTTACTCAAATGATATAGATGTAAATTACTTGCATATTTTTCTCAAAGACACCCTGAAATATTTTCTTTTCAATTATACATTATTAATAAAGGGCTAGTTTTTATTCTTAGAAAATAGCATCTTGCTAACATAAATTATTAAACACTTGAACACTGAATGCAGAGACACAGGCGATCTACATGATTGCCCATCTTTCATAGTTGCAGATGATAAAAGTTGACTTTACAGTGATGTGCCATACATGCCAAATGGCTTGTCAGATATATGTGTATGTATGTACATACACATGTACCCCATTTTCCAGTTATACAGACCTATAGAGAAATCTGACTGAAAAAAAAAAGTCAGCTTCAAATTTATTTTATGTCTCAAAACCTGTGGGACGCAAAAATTTTTTTGTGTGAAAATTATATATTTTTGAGGGTCAAGATACAGGTAAATGTCTTAAGCTACTCATAGCAGAGCTGAATAATTGTGTAATTATAAGTTTTACTTTGTGATTAATCCTGTCAATAGTTTATAATGTCTTAACTTCCTTCGCCTGAATGAGCAACCCATTCTCACTCCCGAGTCGTCACATATTGACGTTTTTCAAAGGTCCCTTTGCGTCCAATTTTGACGCATCAGGTACCTCCCTTGCGTCGTATTTTGACGGGATGGGGCGGAATCTGTTGTCGTAATTTCTGAAAGTGTAGAAAATGCACAAATACTACCGTTCCAAAGCGTGAAATTA